TGTACTAGGATATTGCTGAATTGTTTTTCTGATGCTTTTCTTAATCCTTAGAAGAATGAATGCTGCTACTTACATAATGTTTTATATTTTGCTACTTTCAGGGATCATTTCTGTAGTTCATTACTGCTAGTGTTTTAGAAGATGGTATTACTTCTGTTTATTTAGATTCAGGGGATGAGCACACAGCCCTACACCATGTAAAGGATCATTCAACAGTTAATAAGTGCCACAAACTCCACTAGGTTAAATATATTCTTAATAAGAATGCATGATTCCTTTACCATGATAAATTAGAAACTTGAAGGGCTGGCACTGTGGTGCAGCAGGTTAAAGCTCCAGCCTGCAGCACCAGCATCCCATATGGGTGCTAGTTCAAATCCCAGCTGCTCCATTTCCAATGCAGCTCCCTGCTAATGTGCCTGGAAAAGCAGTGGAGGAGGGCCCAAGTTCTTGGGCCCCTATACCCACATGGGATAACCAGAAGAAACTTCTAGCTCCTGGCTTCAGTTCAGCTCCAGCCTTTACAGCTATTTGGGGAGTAAACCAGCAGATGGAAGTCCTCTCTTTCTCTGTCTCTGCATGTCTCTGTAACGCTTTCAAATAAATAAAATTTTTTAAAGGAATTTGAGGAAAGTATAATGAAATACGAAGATTCTTGTATTACCTTCCAAATAAGATTTTTTTCAGACAAAATTAATGTATGTTTAAGGTCAGTAGGACAACTTACATAAATAACAGTTGAAGTCCATTAGAAAGTACAAATGTATGCTATGATAGGTATTTTGTATTTATTTTGATAGTGTGCAATATCAAATGCAGTTGCTTTTTTGGTTTGGAATTCTCTCTTGCCAATAATCTAAACTAAACAGGCCAGTGAAGCTATATCATAAGCAAATGATGGCTGCTTTTCAAATTTATAAATAAAAGGTAGCAGTATGAACGGTGGAAATGGAATGAGTAGTTGGGAAGGCTTTTTAAGAAATGCTTTTGGAAAACATTGGACATTAGGAAAGGTAGACTAGAGAATGGCCTTTTTTCTTCTGCACCTGAACCTCTGGAATAGAATGAATCTGATCTGAGATGTCCCTTTTTTTTTTTTTAAATTATCAAAGTAATATCATGTTTCAGAGCTTATCTGAAACAATATCAAAAGAAATCTTACATAATTCTACTACATCATTACTATTAAAATTTTGATATATTTGGCCTCCGGCAGGAGGGGAGAACATAGCAGGGAACTCTGTGTGTTTGTAAGAGAGAGAGAGAAAAAGAGAGAGGTACCTACTATAGTTGTAATCAAGGTTTTAAATTACCATTTTATCAAGAAAATTTTTATATTGCTTTATTACTTTCTTACTGGTTATTGTTTTATGGAATGGTAATGAGAATTCACCAATAACAAAACCAGTTAGAAGATCATCTAGGCCCTTAAGTCCTACTGAATCTGTGTCTTCAGTGTAGGCTTGAGGTGTGTTGAATTTGCATAGTTATGTTGAACCCATTGAAAATACAGGGGAGAGACTGTAATGGCTGTTAAGTACATTTCCATGTCATCTACAGTATATAAAAGTTCGGGATGGTCATTTGCATCACAAATAATTAGGTGATGCTTATCCTGCAGGTTTAGTTTCTATAGTTAACCTTAAGTTTTTCTAATTATCCTTACTGACCAAATATCTAAGATTCACTTTTTTTAAAAAACATTTATTTATTTATTTGAAGGACAGAGTTACAGAGAAGCAGAGAGAGAGAGAGAGAGGAGAGACCCTCTATCCGCTGGCTCATTCCCCAGATGGCCACAATGGCCGGAGCTGCACCGATCCGAAGCCAGGAGCTTCTTTCAGGTCTCCCACATGGGTACAGGTGCCCAAGGACTTGGGCCATATTCCACTGCTTTCCCAGGCCATAGTAGAGAGCTGCATGGGAAGTAGAGCAGCTGGGACTTGAACTGGCGCCCATATGGGATGCTGGCACTGCAGGTGGCAGCTTTACCCACTACACCACAGCACTGGCCCCTAAGATTCACTTCTTTTCTTGCTCCATCCTTGGATACAGACATAGGGCCAGCTGCTCTGGATCATCAAAGAGTTTACTGTTCACACCTGGCAGAATTCCTTCCCTTTGCCAATATGTGTCTCAAGAATTTGATAACCTGCTCTTAATGGACTCTTTTGTAAAATGCTTTGAGGAGGAGAATAATGAATGCCTACAACAAATAAAGCTGTCAGGCCATTTAAGTGTCCCCATTTGCATATTCCCAGAGAAGGAAAATGGGTTCCCATGTAAAATCCTTACTTCCACTGTGTGTTATTCTTGCCATTTCTAGCTTCTCTGTAGTTTTTGTAATGTAAAAACCTGATCTTCATCAGGGACTGTCGCTGTTTCTCTTGCTTTGAACAATGTTCTGTGTCTGTTACCATATTACAGAGTAGCAGAATTTAAAATGTCTCAGGTGGGGCAGGCACTGTGGCACAGTGGGTAAAGCCACCGCCTGCAGTGTCAGCATCCCATATGGGCGCCAGTTCGAGTTCTGGCTGCTCCACTTCCAATCCTGCTATAGCCTGGGAAAGCAGTAGAAGATGGTTCCAAGTCCTTGAGAGGAAGCTTCTGGTTCCTGGCTTCAGATTGGCCCAGTTCTGGCTGTTGCTGCCACTTGAGGAGTGAGCCAGCAGATGGAAGAATTCTCTTTCTCTCTCTGGCTGCCTCTGCCTCTCCCTCTCTGTAACTCTACCTTTTGAATAAATAAATAAATTTTTGTTAAAAATGTCTCAAGTAGGAATGATGAGAATTTAACAGCAGTATAGCATGTGAAGCATGTGAAGCGCCCAGCACAGTGCGTGATCTCATATGAATTCAGGAAAAGTATGATTTCTCCCAAAGGATTTCCTCCATATATAATTAACAGTAATTATGTATTTGTTAGAGAAATCTCATCAAAATTAATAGTAGTTTACACTTATTTACTTAACCTAATATTTGTTGTAGAATACACAACTTTTTCTTTTTAAAGATTTATTTATTTATTTGAAAGGCAGAGTTACAGAGAGGTAGAGGCAGAGGCAGAGAGAAAGGTCTTCTGTCTGCTGGTTCACCCTCTAAATGGTTGCAATGGCCAGAGCTGGGCTGATCCGAAGCCAGGAACCTGGAGTTTTCAGAGTCTCCCACATGTATGCAGTACTTGGGTCATCTGATGCAGCTTTCCCAGGCACATGAGCAAGGAGTGGATCAGAAGTGGAGCAGCAGGGACTTGAACCAGCAGCCATATGGCGCTGCAGGTGGCAACTTTATTCACCATATCTCTGTGCCTGCCCCCTACAAAGTTTTAGTATTTATGATGGCCAACATTTACTGTAACACCTTCTTTCCCTTTTACTTCTCATTTTTAAACATTGTGAAATCATAGTTCTTGGTCAAGATTAAGTATCTATAGGGTACATTTTTCTTATTGAGGATAATTCCCATATTCCTCATTTACTTGCATTCTCCAGATCATTTTAAATTTCCAACTAGAAGCCGTAAATATTATCTTAACTCTGTATGACCAGTTTATTCTCATTGATCCATTATGTTTGGTGCTAACATTTACCTGGAGCGCTCTACTGCAGAGAAAAAGAAAGTGAGAAAGCACTCTGACAACTCTGCTCTGGTCTATCATTGCCATGGGGCAAGGTCTGCTGAGACTACAACTCTTATTTTGGAGATGAAAAAGCTTAGAGAAATTGAAGGAACTTGTCTCTAGTCTTTCAGCTAGTTTAAACTGATTCTCTGTCCAAAAGTTTTCTTCTGGACAAGGAGGTGTTTACTACCTGTTGCCATCCCTGTTACTGGCCTATTTGTGTTTTGTTTTCTTTAAGTAAGTATTATACTAGTAGCACAAATAATTAAGATGTTTAGGAAAATATTTTCCTCCTTTCCAATAAATTCAAGTTTAGATTTTTTTTTTTTTTAACAGGCAGAGTGGACAGTGAGAGAGAGAGACAGAGAGAAAGGTCTTCCTTTTCCATTGGTTCACCTCCCAATGGCTGCTGCGGCCAGCACACCGCGCTGATCTGAACTCGGGAGCCAGGTGCTTCTTCCTGGTCTCCCATGTGAGTGCAGGGCCCAAGTACTTGGGCCATCCTCAACTGCCTTCCCGAGCCACAGCAGAGAGCTGGACTGGAAGAGGAGTGACCGGAACAGAATCCGGCACCCCGACCAGGACTAGAACCCCGGGGTGCCGATGCTGCAGGCGGAGGATTAGCCTATTGAGCCGTGGCGCCAGCCTCAAGTTTAGATATTTTAAGTAGTTGTAATTTTTTTTTTGGGTGGGGGGTGACAAGCAGAGTTAGACAGTGAGAAAGAGAGACGGAGAGAAAGGTCTTCCTTCCGTTGGTTCACCCCCCAAATGGCCGCTGCGGCCAGTGCGCTGCGTCAATCTGAAGCCAGGAACCAGGTGCTTCTTCCTGGTCTGCTGTGTGGGTGCAGGGCCCAAGCACATGGGCCATCCTCCACTGCCTTCCCGGGCCACAGCAGAGAGCTGGACTGGAAGAGGAGCAACCGGGACAGAATCCGGCACCCCGACCGGGACTAGATCCCGGGGTGCCAGCGCCGCAGGCGGAGGATTAGCCTAGTGAGCTGCAGCGCCAGACAGGTTGTATGGTTTCTTACCACATTTAAAACCAGAAAGTAGTAATTCTAAAGAAGAAAATTTCAGTGATAGGGTAGGAGAAATCTTAGATACTGTCTTCCTAACAGTCTCTTAATAAAGAGAATCAGATAGGATAATCAGAGAATGAATGAATATTGAGTAATTACTGAGGAAGGAAGATGTAAGTTCAGGAAAAAAATACTATTTTGGTAAATATTGGATTTTTGGTTGATCTAGTATCTATTTTACAAGAAAAATGTGTTAATAAATTTTTTCCAGTTATAAAATTCCCTGGGTATAGGTTTTAGAACCATTAAAAATATATGGATTGATGTGCATATTGACTTCTGCCTCTTTATTGTGTATTTATTAGGTACTTCACATGACTGGAGGTTGCGATGTGGTGCTGTGGACTTGTACTTCACTCTGTTTGGCCTTAGTAGACCTTCGTGTTTACCCTTGCCAGAGCTTGGATTGGTTCTTAATCTAAAGGAGAAAAAAGCTGTTCTGAATCCTACCATTATTCCAGAGGCCATAGCAGGCACCCAGGAAACTACAAGTAATCCAGGCAGCCATGCACAACTGGTTGCATTTCAGAATCCTGTAAGAATCATATGTATTACAGAAGATGTAGTTTATTTTCATAGAGAGCCAGCCAGAGAAGAAAATTGCTTCCTGTGAATTTTATAGCCACTGTGTCAGTTTCTTGTGCCACTTTAAAACCTGTTGTTGACATTGGTTAGCACTTTATAGTTTATAAAATGCTGCTGACAACTACATAACAAATGATGTGTTGCCAGTCCATTTACTTTTTTGTGATGACATAATTTTTTTTATATTTGAGCATAGACTTTCTTCTGTGAGTAGAACATAGAAATAAACATTTAATCCATTATATATATTTTTTTTATTTTTTTTTGACAGGCAGAGTTAGAGAGAGACAGACAGAGAGAAAGGTCTTCCTTTTTCCATTGGTTCACCCTCCAAATGGCCACTACGGCTGGGGCACTATGGCTGATGTGCTGCACCGATCTGAAGCCAGGAGCCAGGTGCCTCCTCCTGGTCTCCCATGTGGGTGCAGGGCCCAATCACTTGGGCCATCCTCCACTGCCTTCCCAGGCCACAGCAGAGAGCTGGACTGGAAGAGGAGCAACCGGGACAGAATCCAGCGCCCCAACCGGGACTAGAACCTGGGGTGTCGGCGCCACAAGCGGAGGATTAGCCTAGTGAGCTGCGGTGCCGGCCTAATCAATTATATATTAACCTGACTTGTCCATATATGTTAATTCCAAGCTGTTTGAACATAGGGCCCCTGTCTTTTTAAATTGTTCCTAGAACAATTCTAAACATACAGTAAGTGCTTGGCAAATGCTTGCTGAATGAAAATAACTGAATGATCAAGTAAATGGATAACCTGATTTGGGAGAAGACTATGCATTGTACTTGTATAGTTTATATATGAGGGTACTTCAAAAAGTTTTTGAAAAATGGAATTAAGAGGTGAGTTTATTTCATTGGAAAAAGTATGTATAAGAAATTTTCCAGAAATGATTTTTTTATTGATGACAAAAATACCTCTAATACTTCCAGTTTCATTTTTTACCAATATTTAGACAAGATTTCTTGCCTAGACATTTCCTACTGAGGTTTTGAAATTTTAAAAATCAGAATTTCTCATTTTAAATTTATCTATTCACCTAAAGTTTTTGAAATATAATTGTATTTATTTGCTGCACATTTAAAATTTGTCCTAGAGTTTAGGTTATGCAGAAGCAAAACAGATCCTTACATAGAGTATGATTAAAGAGATCTTTCAGGTCTAAATATTTATAAACCCATGAAAATGAACATGTGTGTATTGTCATTAAATATTAATTTATCCATTTTCACGCTTCAGGATAAGAGGATAAAATGACAACTAAAAACCTGATCTTTTGGGAAAACTCCATTTATTTAAATACCTCCTTTCTGCTGCAAAAAAAAAAAATACCAGCAGACAAGAAAATTTTTCATTTAAGCCCATTTTGATAACTTTTAGTCCCTGGGCCTGCTCTAATCTGCATGGTTGCTATAGCTATTAGTTTTTGGCTATACTATAAATTGATTGTCTTCAGAAGTCCAATTTTGATCTTGAATATTACTGTGAGAAGATGATCATCTTGCCAAGGAAGCATCATATCATATCATATCATGTCAGCTCATCAGCAGGGAGTGAAGAGGAAGGCTGATACACCTCTGGGGTTCCCACTAGAACCTGGTCAAATACTGGAGAAGAATGAGGATAGCAGTAAAGTCAAACTCAAAATCAGAGTAAGAAATACATGTTAAACCTGTATTAGCAGAGTAGGGCATTCACCTTCCTGTATGTCTTTTTGAATGCTTACTATGGTTGTTCCTTAGCAACACTACATGGTACAGACTGTATCATAAAAGAACCAAGATACATTCTAAAATGTTCCAGTTATTTAACTTGTTATCCCATACTTCTTCTCTATTTGAGGGAGGAATCATATGTGCACATTCTACCACAGCTTACTACTTCTTCCCACAATACAGGAGTAGGTTTTAGTTACTATTAAATTTTCAGTAACTTTTAATAAGCTAATTTTGGAGGTTGGGCAAAATAATCCTTTTTTCTCTCCTGATATGTTTTGAAGAAAAGAGACTACTTTTCCTTTTAGGGTTATATGAGGGTATATTCTATTACCTCTATAATGCCTAACAACTAAGATCCAAATGTAAAACGATATAATGGCCCTTTTATTCTTTTGTTTTGTGTGTCTGTGTTTTAGTTTTCAAATTCTCAAGATGAAGAGGAAATTGATATGGATACTGTTCATGATAGCCAGGCCTTCATTTCTCATCATCTGAACATGCTTGAAAGGCCATCCACTCCAGGTAAGATGGAGTATTGCAATTGCTGGGCACTTGGAGGGAGTTCAGTATATATCACTATTCTAAGGTGGGCAGTTTTATTTTCAAATGAGTAACTATAAAGATTAAAATTAGCCAGCATAAAATAGAGATATGTCAGTTTATTACATATTGGTGGCATAATAAAAGTAATGATTTTCTATTTTGTTCTTTTTTAATATTTGACACACTTTTTAATTTTTGTAAAAATCAGTTCATCAGATTTCTTCTAATAGTTTTGATTTCTTGTGTATGTGTGTATTAGTCTTTCAAAATAAAATACTATATCTGGTTTCTTTTTACTAATGTAACCATAATTACATAAAATAATTCTTTACTAAAGTTGATGCTGTCCATTGCCCTATTTTATACTGTTATTGCCTGTCCATTATATCATAGACTCTTGTGTGCATCTCTCAAAGCATATTTTCTTTGAAAATATTATCTGAGACACCATTCAATTCATATATTACAATTATATTTCCCTGTTGATAGGCATTTAGGTTGTTTTGAATTTTTATATATCGTGATAGCTCTGCCTTGCAAATCTTAATCTAAAAGCTTTTGTTCCTTTTTTTTTTTTGTCAAAGTATGTTCTTAGAATAAATTCCTCAAAATGTATTATTACTGAAAAGATTAGTGTTAATTATATTGTCTTTAGAAAATTTTCATAGCTCTTCGTACATGTTGCCACATGGTTTTGAAGAGATTATGCCATTTATGTTATAAACATTTTATAATTTTTAATGAATAAAGCTTTTGATTTGATGTGCATATAAGTCATTAAATATAATAATTAACACATATATGTGTGAGCTTACCACCCAGCTCACTATGTACTTACACTCCATACGTGGACATTCCCTGTGTGTATCTTTGTTCTGCCTTTGCACCACAATTAACTCATAGCTTGAATTTTCATTTTCAGAATTTCATTCTGTTGCTTTTCTTTATAGTATACCTCACAGATACCTCATCCTGTGATATTGGTACTCTTGAATTTTTATGAAACTAATAGAGTAACATGACCTGTTTTCAATCAGCATTAAGTTTCTGAAAATTATGTTGATATACATGCTATAAGTTATTAATTTTCAATTATCTTTTTTAAGATCGTCATAGCACTGTTTTATTGTCATCTGTGTAATAGCCTCAAAGATAGAGTAACCAGAAAATGATCACTTGGGTTTCCTTTTGAATACATTTCCTCTAACATTAGTATAACTGTGTTTCTTTTTCTTTTCTTCTCTGGTTATTGTTCCAATTTCCTTCTATTTGAAAATCCTACTCAGACCTCATGGTTGTTGTTTTTTATGATCTTTACATGTGAGTGATTTTTTTTTTTAGCATGTAAACATGCAGCATTTGTGTTAAGTCTTCATTACTCACCTTGGTTCTTTTATATTTGGCCTTTTGTTTTAATGTTATTTATGAGACCTGAATTAGTTTTCTCAATATAATAATAATCTTAGAAGTGCTTTCAGAATTTGAAAACTAACTCCAGATAAAAATTGAGCCTAAAATATATTTGAAAACATGATTTCTTTTTATAATAGCAAGAGATCTTAGCAATTACTTGTTCTGCCCCATTAAGTAAACTTGAGCAGAAGGACGTTCAGTGACTTTCTCTAGATAACAAACCAAGTAGTGGTCAGCAAGGGCTAGATCCAAATCTTAGGCCTTTTCCACGTGACAAGTGAAGAAATTAAGACACAAAGTACCTTACCCAGAATTCATTTTTAATTTGTTAATAAATTGGGAATCAGCATGTGGAACTGCACATTGCAACTATAGTATTGTTAACATTATACTATTAAACCATTTCCTATTTTGTTTTCTGTATTCTAAATTATTTTGACCTAATAGCAAATTTCATAATGGGATTTATTAGCAAATTTGGGAGGGTGGAGCAAGCAAACTCCACTGTAAGCAAAGTTCCATATAAATACCAACATATATGAAATGGTTCCAGGGGCCAGTGTTGTGGTGTAGGTAAAGCTGCCGCCTGCAGTGCCTGCATCCCTTATGGGCGCTGGTTTGAATCTCGGCTGCTCTACTTCCGATCCAGCTCCCTGCTAATGGACCTGGAAAAACAGAGGAAGATGATCCAAGTCTTTGGGCCCCTGCATCCTCATGGGAGACCCGGATGGAAGATCTGTCTCTCTCTCTCTCTCTCTCTCTCTCTCTCCCTCTCCCTCTGTTATTCTGTAACTCTGCCTTTCAGATAAATACATAAATAAATCTTTAAAAAAAAAAAAAGGAAGAAAGAAATGGTTCATGTCCCAAAATATAAGGACTAATCTATATATTCTAAAAGTCATTCATACTTACTGTATTTCTTTTTTTTTTTTTAAGATTTATTTATTTATATATTTGAAAGACAGAGTTACAGAGGTGGGGGGAGAGAGAGAGAGACAGAGAGAAAGATCAGTTTTCCACCCGCTGGTTCACTCCCTAGATGGCTGCAATGGCCAGAGCTGCGCCCATCTGAAACCAGGATCCAGGAGCTTCCTCTGGGTCTCCCACGCAGGTGCAGGGGCCCAAGGGCTTGGGCCATCTTCTACTACTTTCCCAGGCCAGCAGAGACTTGGATCAGAAGTTGAGCAGCTGGAACTCGAACCGGCGCCCAAATGGGATGCCAGCACTACAGGCGGCAGCTTTACCCTTTATACCACAGTGCTGGCCCCTTACTATATTTCCTGAATGTGTATTGTGCTCAGTAAGCTTACTGGAACTATGACAAAGAATTAAATAGGATCTTTAATAGTTTTTAGATTAATATTTTTCATTATCAGAATTTGACTGTGATTTAACTACTTCTGGTTTTAAAGGTAACTTATGAAAACCTATTGGGCTTTACCAGTTGGGCTTTTTAGTTCTTAGGGGAAACAGAGAAATAAATTACTCTCTTCCCTCTTGTTTGGCATTGTAGGGCTCTCTAAGTATCGGCCAACTACCTCCCGGTCTTTAACATCCCAGCATTCATCAGGCTGTGATGGCACACCCTCCACAAAACCCCAGTGGAGTATGGAACTTGCACGGAAGGGAACAGGTAAAATTAATCATTTGTTTGAAACTCAAGGGAAAAAATATCTGTATACTTTTTAAAAGTACCTTATCCACTTAAAAAAGTACCTTTTCCACTTAAAAAAAAAGACTTTAAAAATATAGATTTTAGAACTTGGCTTTTCTTGCAACATGAGAACTTTATATTACCTGACTTTAAAGACTACTTTAAATTAGAACTTTCTATTTTAAAAATTATATTACTATTACAAAAAACTGAAATAGAAAACATGAAAGAAAAAAAATGCTCTCTCATTCTGCCACTTAAATGTACGGCTTGGGATGGTCATTGGGCACAGCAGTCAAGATGTTGCCTGGGACGCCCATGTTTCCTTTCAGAATGCCTATCTCTGCTTCTGAATCCGGCTGTTGCTACTGTGCATCCTGGGAGGCAGCAGGTGATGGCTCAAGTCATTGAGTCTCTGCCACCCACTGAGAGACCCAGTTATGTTCTGGCCTCCTGGTTTCAGCCTGGCCCAGCCCTAGCTATTGCAGGCATCTAGGGATGAGTCACTGGATGGAAGATCTCTCTCTGTCTCACTGCCTTTCAAATAAAAATTATTTTTATTTAAACAAACAAAGATATTTGTGTGTCTCTGCCATTCATGTACAGAACTCCTGGGATCAGCATTTGGTGAGTGAAACAGTGGAAATGATCACTCTCTCTGCCTCTCAAATTTGAAGAATTTAAAAATCTTCTCAATAAGATACCTAATGTAGGAACAGTTTGTTTTTATAGGACTATTATAATATGACAAATGCTAACTTCAGTAGAAACCACGAAATCGATACCTTTATAAAATACAAAAATCAAGTCCTTATTCCCCATGTTTATGATTAGTGAGTCACTGATACTGTTTCTTGATAATTTTTACATGTTCTGTCTTTTAAATTATTTCATACTAATTAAACTGAAGTTTAGTAAAGGTAATTCAGTTCAGATGTTTGTTATCTATACTCTATTATTTTGCACTATCTTTTCTATTGCTTACAAAGAGAAAACTGTAAGTAAAGAGCTGCTAATAAAATAACATGAAACAAAGATTAAATCTGCCAGTTTTGAAGAAATAGGGGGTGAAAAACAAGGTGCAATAAGCAAAATCATTTTTAAAGAATTGTTTTTCCAGAAGTAGCTATTCAGAGTTTAAAGTCTTATGTATCACCAGATGGATTTTGTGTATATAAACCATGTTTTTGTCAGATATAAACAAAAGAGTACTGTTTATTTATTTGAAGAGCTGTTGGATCAACTGTGATTAATAAGAGACTTTAAACAAAAGTGACACCTCAAAATATTTTGGTGTTTTGACCCTGGACTGTTAGTTGCTTATAATTCTTTGTGTACTCTGTGCATTTATTATAAGATATTCACACCAAATATGTCTCCGGAGTCAGCTTTAGCTGGACTTCTGAGTACATTTTAACATTTCTTGAGCTTTGCTGATTTTGTATTCTCTTCGTATTGTTTTGTTTTAGGTTTTGGTGTAATTTTACCTTATAATTACATTTACTAAAATTTTGTTATACAAGATTTTTCTGTATTTAAAACAATTACAAAGCCTAGAGAGTTTTGAACTTTCTTAATATAGTTTGAGAGTGATGTTTCTGCTTGCCTTCCTTGTGCTTAAAAAATAATAATAATTTGTCTAAATTTCTAGAAAAATCAGTTCCTGTTTCAAAAAGAATCTGCATATATCTCTTTGGTTTTTCTTAATGATATGGCACATTAATCTCAGTAGAAGTAAGTCTTAACACCTTTTTGTGTCCACTAATGTACATTTTTTTTTTCATTTTTACACATGCCTTTAAAAATGCATTTTTGGGGGCTAGCCATTTAGCCTCACAGTTAAAATGTCTGTATCTCACATTGGAGTACCTGGGTTCAATTCCTGGCTCTGGCTCCTGACTCTAGCTTCCTGCTAATATATAGACCTTGGGAGGAGAGGCAGTAGTGATGGCTCAAGTAGTTGGGTTCCTGCTACCCTGTTATGTTCTCTTCTCCCAGCTTAGCCTAGCTGTTGCCAGCATGTGAAGAATGAACCAACAGATGGGAACTCTCGCTCTGTCTGCCTTACAAATAAATTTTTAAAATTTAACAAAAATACAACAAACACATACATATATATGTATATGTATATATACTATATATCTACATAGGTATATATTCTATATATATTTATATATCATATCTAGATAGATAGATTAATATAGTCTCTTTCTTTGCAGTTTCTCTACATATAGATTTGTAGTTCTCATGGCATCGTATGGGAAGATTGCAGAGGAAGACACAGGGCTAGTGATGAATAGGGAAGCTTTAAAATTTTGGCTTTGGTTAACCATCAGTGTAGGAGCCTCTTGTATTATAAAGCAAAATGTAAATGAGTTATGTAGACTGATCTGTTAAACTTATTTTGAATGTGCCTTTGTAATTTTAAGTGTTTATGCTACTTAGTACCCTAGACCACTGAGGAAGTTGTAAACTTCAAAAACTATATTATTAGAATTTTGAAAACTTTTGTTTTACGGTGATACTCCAAAGATTTACTTACATATGGATTTATACATAGCTTTATATGTGTTGAATGCAGTTTGTCCATATACACATTGTTATGTTTGATAAGTAACTTTCCCAGGTAGCCTAGCAAATGTCCTTTTGACTCATACCACACACGAAGAATTTAAGTATTAAACCTAGTCATTGTATGCAACAATATATCTCTGAGAAGGGGAACTCAACAGCTCCATGTTTTGTGATATTAGAAAGGTAGCAGATGATGTATTTGGGCCCCTGCCATCCATGTGGGAAACCCAGATGAAGATCTTGGCTGCTGGCTTCAACCTGGCCCAGACCTGGCTGTTGAGACTATTTGAGGAGTGAACAAGCAGATGGAAGATCTGTGTGTGTGTGTGTGTGTGTGTGTGTCTTTGTAATGCTTTCAAACAAATAAATAAATAGATCTTTTAAAAAAGAAAAGAACACAACTTTAACCTAATACATGTTAAATTAATTTGGTAGTGAAGCAGTTTCCTCTCTCCTGCCTGTCAGCAGGAGCTGGGAATCTTCTGCTGTGTTAGCCACCTTGGCCTGGGGTTGAGCACGGGGATTCAGGAACAGTGGTAAGGGAAGCTGTGACTAGTCTTCAGTCTCTAGTATTCTCAATTAAAGATCACAAGTGAGTTTTCAGAGGCTGTTGTTGATCTCCATCTGAGGCATCTTTTATTCGGGCCATGTAAGTCTTACAAAATTTTTGAAAATTTACTAAAAATGAATAAATCACACATAAAAGTCTGAATTTCCTGCTTTTCTTTTGTTTATAATTTTAAATTTATTTTTATTTATTTGAAAGGCAGAGCAACAGAGAGAAAGAGAGCGCGTGCGTAGTTGGGAACTGAAATATGTTGCAGATCTTGTCTAGGAGGATTGGAAAGGAATGGGATTTGGGTAAAATAAGGAATGGATGGAAAGTATTAAATAGAAGGCAGGTTATGCTTTACTTCTAACTTTTGTCCCCAATTTTTCCTTCCATTGAATATGATAATGAGAAGAAGATTTAGAATATTTTAGAGTGGAATTATATGTGAATAGTAGATCCAGTAGGGTGAGGTAAGAAAGAAATGGCAGGAGTATTTTTCATCTCTGTTACTTCCCTTCTGTGTACTTTCTCTTTCCTAAAGTGAGGAAAGGAATATGAAGAAAGAGCTGTATGATTCCCTTGGTGGTGGAGCTGAACGTACCGTCTCCCCTCTCCCCTTATCACTGCAAAGGCCTAAGTTGCCTGGGCTGTCTCCCATGTTGTTGCAGGGGTTGCAGAGAAGAGAAGATGGGAAGAGGAGGAAGGAGAGTTCCTGCAGCTGCCTAGTGAGGGCTTCAGAAGAGCACAGTTCTAGTACATGAAGTTTCTTTAATTAAAACGGCTAAAAAGAAAAGGGCTAGAGATCTATCTTTTCAAGCTGTAATTTGAAAAACATTGTATTTTAATTAAATTGTTATAATTCTACAGTTTATATTTTTACAGTGGACTACAGAACAGATTTCACACATTTCCTAACAGAAACTATAGGTTATATTAAATATATACCTAATGCACATAAATTTGATAGAATTAGTAAATTATTCAGTGTTTCTTATCAACACTTTTATCAGATGAGCTGAAAAGCTTCCACATTAGGCTTATATTAAGTGGCTCTTTGTGTTTGTTTTGTATTTGTTAAATTGACTGCACCTAACCTTTATCCATAATGTGTTTTATTTGGCCCCCAGGAAAGATTTTATGTTGACTAGAACAACAAAACTGAGTGTCTTTTTTGTTCTTTCCACATAACTTGAAATAGGAAGATTATAATATTTTGAATTATGTGTTTCTTTTCTCTGGTAAATCTATTTACAGTAGAAACATGTGAAGACATTGAAAGGGCTTTTATTAGCCTAAAAATTATGCCTAATTATAGATGGTCTCTGAGTTTCTAGTCATTTTGTATACCCTCTGAAATGAAAGTTATTTTGTGAATGTTTGTGTCAAGAGGATAGTAGGACAAGCATTTTCTTGATAGAGATTTTATAGATGACTTTATTATACATCCTGTGAAAGTAAACTCAAGCATATCCCAAATCTGTATGTTAATATAATTCCACATGGAGAGGAAATTGCAGTTTCTTGTCACCTTGGATTAGACTTCATAAAAATTGTTCCGTAAAGAGTGAGAGAATAAGCAAACAAAAATAGATACCGAGAGTTTGATTATTGATGGGATGGTACAACGTTGTCATTTATTCTACTGGTATAAATACTTCTTATAACTTCATGTATGTGTCTGTGCATAGTCATGAGGATATTAGTAGGATAAATTTCTAGAAATCAACCTTCTGAATCAAAGAATATGGGAACTTAAAATCTTCATCGATATTGCTGGATTATCTTAACTTTTTCTTTTAAATGCTTTATAATGAAAAACTGTAGTCAGTTCAATATAGTTAACCCTCCATGTCTCTGTTGCTCATCTTCAACAGTGATCAGCTCCTGGTCAATATTATTAACTATTTCCACTCTTCTGAAATACTTGAAGTAAATCCTTCATATCACATAGCTTAGTATATATTTCTAACAGATAAGACTTTGGAATATTACAACTTCAGTAATATTATACCTAGAGATTTAACAGTCCTTTTACATGAAATATTCAGTTGACTTGTAAATACAATTTTTAAACAATTTCTGTGGCTGTATTCTAAAAACTTAGTTGAATTCAGTTTTATATGTGGTTGTGTGTTCTTCCATCCAAAAGCGTATTACTGGTAGACTTTGTTTTTATGAGGTTAACCACTCTGGATGTTCAGGATCTTGATCCATTAATTCATATAAGGATTGTGAGATGGTGATTTTCTGATTTATTCTTCCATTTTTATTTATAAGCTATATTATTTCTATAAAGCTAGATTTCTCCTCATCTGTTACCAAGTGGTCTAAATCACAAAGGTAAATAAAGATAAATACTTGATTCTATTTAATAATTTTCAACATACTGCTTTGTTTGACTAGCTTTCTCAATGGTGATCAACCAGTTTCAACCTATTACAATTATTATCCTTATCAAATTTTCCTAAGAACAGTGAAAGCTGACTCCTAAGTCTGTTTGACAAGGCTTTAACTTCCTTTAATACTAGATGTTTCAGGCTTATCTTGCACATACTCTCTCCCAGACCTGGAATTGGCCATTTGGCCAACCCATGATTCCTAACACATTTATTTATCCTTGAAACTAACTATTGCATTCATTGTCTTCTTAATAGATCCCATGTAAATCAAAAGAAATGTAAGATTTATAATCAGTGCATCTTTAATGCACAGTATTCAGCCAGTAGACAGAACAGTGGATTCACTTTTGAAGTAGTTGTAAATATTTCTTTGAGGAAAAAAGTACTCCTACAAATGTTCAGTTGTCCATTTGCAGTTACCCCCACTGGGAAGTACAGGTTCCAGTATAATTACTGACTTTCTGAAATCCAAGAATCTGGCAGGTTTTTAGTATTAGATGATGACTTCTCTTGGTGCAGAAATGGAGCTCAGACTCCCAAGAGTGCAGACAGCTAGTTAGAAAGTTGCGAAGTCTGTTGATATAAAATGACTAAATAATGAGATATGAGCCAAAGCGATTTGTTTATGAGGCTTTAAATTCTGTTACTTCTTATTATTATAGTACTGTTAGGTATTCTGTTAGGTATAGGCCCATTTCCCTGCATTTATAATCAGAAATATATTCGTGTACTTTACTTAAAATTTAAGGTAAAATCAGATAGTGGCACATTTGGCTCAGGCTAAATTAGATAATCTCTTCAAATTTTTCTTTCTCTGAAGAATATTTGTATATCAATTATTATAAAATATACAGATTTCCAAACTTGTATGCATGTATAATCTGTTTAGTTTTTGTATTAGTATTGGTATTGGATTTTTTTTTTTTTTTTTTTTTGACAGGCAGAGTGGATAGTGAGAGAGACAGACAGAGAGAAAGGTCTTCCTTTTGCCATTGGTTCACCCTCCAATGGCCGCCGCGGCCGGCGCGCTGCGGCCTGCGCACCGCGCTGATCCGATGGCAGGAGCCAGGTGCTTCTCCTGGTCTCCCATGGGGTGCAGGGCCCAAGTACTCGGGCCATCCTCCACTGCACTTTCTGGCCAAAGCAGAGAGCTGGCCTGGAAGAGGGGCAGCCGGGACAGAATCCGGCGCCCCGACCAGGACTAGAACCCGGTGTGCCAGCGCCGCAAGGCGGAGGATTAGCCTAGTGAGCCGTGGCGCCAGCCGGTATTGGATTTTTTAAAAATCATGAATATAAAAAAGCATTTTATGGATAGTAAAGTTGAATAATCTGTGATGACAGAAACTTTGATTCTTCTCTACTTGTTCTAAATTATTTGAACAGTGCCTAACACAAAAGACAGAAGTCAAATACCGGTTGAATGAATAATCTCTATTAGTGTCTATTCTCTTCCCTCAGTGACTTTAAAATTATATGTAGTTGAATTAAGTTCACCTAGCAACCTATTTATTTAAAAAAAAACTGTATAATTTTGTACATTAATTCACTTACTTGTTTAGCAAGCTTTACTAGGAGTGGGGAGGTAGGTGGAGTGGGGGGATATTAAATTATGTGCTATATACCAGGACCAAAAAAAAAAATTAACTTCTTATCCTCAATAAGCTGTAACAGAAGAGCTTCAAAGATAAAAAAAAAAAAAAACACCACATGTAGTGGATGGGCACCATAGCATGGTTGTTACTAGCATAGCACTCCAGTCGGGCTCTTTGGGTTTGTAGCTCAGGCTCTGTGAGTACCACATTGGGCAGTAATCTCTCTGGTCTTTCATTTGCTTATCTGTGTTATGCTGTGGAACATTAAGGAACACATTCCTGTTAGGCAATTCGCAGAAAACTTCCCAAGGAAACAACATTTGAGCTAACTTTTAAATTATTACAGAGACTAAAACATTCTTTCCCTATTCCCTCCTTTAAGTTACAGTTTAACCATTACTTCCTTGAAGAACTTTGCCTCTCTGATTCCCCAACTAACCCTGTTGTGCTCCTGTTTTACTGTTTTGTCTTATTACTCAAATGTACATACTTAATTTCTTCTTTGCAAGTTTGTAAGCTGTAGGAGATCTGTCCAGTTCAGCACTTTATTCTCCAGTTCCAAAATAGTTTGTGATTTTTGTTAAATCAATGTGTGACTCAGACAAGAAATCAAAGAAGAGTGTTCTAAGATTAGGAAATAACATGAACAAATATACAGTGTTACAAATGGGCTAGCCTAATGTATATAGAAAGAAAGAGTTGAAGATAAGGCTAGAAAAGGTAACTTCAGGACAGATCATACATTATCAATGAAATTAAAGTTCTGTGATTTTTAGAAAACTTATGTGGTGATGCTTGCTTGAGTGAAAATCATGGTTAGGGGCCTGATTTGAATCAAAATTTGGAGGCTGAGGGTTAATTTAAAGAAGAAAAGAAACTACTACATTAAAATCTATCTTAGTTTATGAGACTGGTTTTTTGAGGTGGTTTGGAGTAAAAAATACATATTTTCAGAAACTGCTGCACTCTAGTCCAATGGGAAGGACTTTTCCTTGATCAGTAGATCCAGCAAGTTTTTAAACAGATAACCTTATCAGCCTTGTTTTTAGGAAGATCACTGTGGAGCAGAGGCTCCTATCCTGAACGTACTGATATTTTAAGCATGGTAATTATTGTGAAGGGCTGCCCTGTACATTGTGGGATATTTGGCAGCCTCCCTGGCTTCTCCCTATAGAAAGTCATAACATTTCCCCCTCCCATTCCATTGTGACAACCCAAAGATCCCCAGATACTGCCAAATAAAACCCTTGGAGGCAAAAATCTCTCCTAGTGTCCTGAGAACCACTACTGTGCAACTGTGTAAAGAAGGGTTAAAGTGAGTGACGTTGCCAACAGAGAAGCCAGTTAAAGGGGAGTTACTACTGTGATCCAGAGGAGATATGATGGTCCCCATTAATAGAATTACAGTTAACCCAATATGTCTAGAAGGGAGAGGATCGGAGATGAGTTTCACGTTGTTCACTTAATGGGCTGCGTTTGAAGCGGTGCCATTCCCCTATAGTAATATAGAAAGAATTGTTGCTCAGAGTATGGTCCAAGGAATGTAGATCGCTCTGGAGGAAGAAGTAGCAGCTTATGTCATATATTCCTTGATTGATAGAATGTTAAAACTGCAGAAAACCTTTGAGAATGTTCGATCTTGATTTATAGATGAAGGACTAGAGCCTTTGAGATAAAGTACTTAGTAAATTAGGCTAACAGGACAACTTAGTCTAAAGCATATGTCTACTAATTCTTATTTCCTTTCCTCTACACTTCTTTTTCTGGATTTCTTAAACTGTACAAGGGCATTTTTTAAATTTCATCAAAGAATGAAATTAAAAGGTAAGCTTTATTTGGTCCAAGAAAATTTTGAAATTCATAAATAGTTTTGACATAATACACATTTTACATGAACTTTTTAAGTACCCTCACAGAGTGAATCCTATTAATGTATTCATTTTTGCTTATCTATTTCCAGAAATGGTCTTAAGGAACTATATAAATGCTGGATTTTCACTGAGACATTACTATAATTAAGATAGCCTGTTCATGTGTTTATAAGTGGTTCTCCACCTGGCACAAATTAAATACTTCCATCCCCTCACCCCCATAAATTAAAGTAAAACTGTTCTTGAAGGAGTTGTTTTCATTTTCCAGTATGAACTTTAACTTATAATACACAAGTATCATCATTATTTTTTCAAGAATTAATTTTTAAAAGATGGTTTGGTAACACACTGATTTGTGTCATAATTTTATAGACTCTTAAGAGAAACATTTGTTACTCTTAAGTGTCACTAACTGGATGTCGTATTTACATACTTCTCCCATTTGTAATGGAAGTGACAAACATGTAGGAATCCCAGTTGCATACTGTCAACAGCTGCTTCCTACTTCAATTTCACTTTCCTTGTTATCAACGGGAATTCATCTCTGTGTTTTTAATATTCAAGGTAAAGAACAAGCGCCTTTGGAAATGAGCATGCATCCAGTGGCAGCAGCTCCGCTCTCGGTGTTTGCTAAGGAGTCTGCATCCTCCAAACACAGTGAGCACCATCACCACCATCACCACGAGCACAAGAAAAAGAAGAAGAAGCACAAGCACAAGCACAAGCACAAGCACAAGCATGACAGCAAAGACAAGGACAAGGAGCCCTTCGCTTTCTCCAGCCCTGCCAGCGGCAGGTCTGTGCGTTCTCCTTCTCTTTCAGACTGAGAGAGGGAGGTAGGCCTTTCCCTCCGTGTCCAGAAGAATCTAGATAATGAAAGCTTTGTCTTCTGTGGAAATGGTAAATGAGCGGGAAGATCCTCCTCTCATAGACAGCAGGATCCTCTGAAGTTCTAAACATTTGATTTATATTATACAATTGATATCTAATTAGGAAAATGTATTTGATAATTCCAGATAAACTGTTTTACCCTGTCTGCTCCTAAACACACACACACATGTGCACACAGAGCAAAACTTCTTTTCATAAAAACCCTTATACTCACCAGCAGTCCCCATTCACATCATGGTCTCCGTGTGTACTGCCAAAGTCAATTATGTTTGAAAGCCTTTGATGCATGTTATGGGACAAAGTTACGTTTTAAACAGAAACAACTGCCAAATCTGTGGTGTAACCACTATTTCCAGTGAGATTATAAACACTATTTGGAGCTACTGAGGCTTTTCTGTAGGATCTTCCCTATCACACAGTGTTTTATGTTAACCATAGAAAACAAGCCTCAGAATTTATGAACAAAGAAACACACCATTTTCTTTTGCTCTAAAATTTGCTCTCAAAATTTGAAATTTTTGGAAACAGTTCCTTTGAAAAAATAGAATAACTATCTTTTTGATAGCACATTCAGGAATTATGATGTTGGAATTTGGCAAAACTCTTGAATCCATAAATTGTTCTCAAATCAAGACATTTAAATTATAAGTTGTTTTGTTTCCCATTGAAGTATAAATGAATATGTTCATATGTAAGATGTTTGGCTAAGTAGGGACAGTTTATATTCCCAACACTTATTCTTTCTAAAATTATTCTGTGTAATGCAAAGTATGATACCTTAAAAAGGTGAGTTATGTAGTGATTATTAACTTGGACATACACAGTTCGACCATTATGTAAATATACCAGGAGCGTTTAAAAACACATATGAGACATTTGGTTTCATGGTTTAACAATTCATATGTTTGTGTGTTTTTATTTTTATTTCTGATTTTACCATGTGCTTTATTATTTGTTTGATAATGTGTCTCATATGTTAAATTTTTATTATTTTTTCTTATCATTAAAAAGTTTAACAACATACTTGTTTCCAGAATAAATATTTCAAAAGGGATCCAATAAGTTTGGACTTTTAAGTATACTTTTAGTTATGTTTAACTTGTTTAATAAATAACTTTTAAAATTGATCATTCTGCCTTTATATCTTTTGTTACCTTTTTTTGTGTGTGTACATATAATGTACCTGTTCACATAGTTGCAGAAGTTTTATAAATAGGTGGATCTGAGCTGGCCCCAGCATGAAGAATTTCAGTAGGCAGAGATGGGACAAAGTTCTATCATCAGAAGAAGCAATATCTTCAGAGATACAGAAAGCAAGATGTGTTCAGGAACTAGAAAGCCTATGCAGTGTAAGAGAAGAGTGACAAATAGTAGCTGTCCCTGTTATTTCAAGCTTTGTGCTGGGAACTGTGTATTAAGTACATGATTTCTAGATTGAATGTTTTATGTTAGATGCTTCTTGTGAGGAACATATATATAATTTTTTTGTGTGTATGATGAGCTCTAGGTTAATTAAGCTGATGCGTGGAAGTAGACAATGCAAAAATTATTCATATTTTTGGAAATCAGTAATTATATTCAAACAATGCAGAGTTCCAGTATAAGTTTCCCAGACTTCTTTCCCAGAGACATTATTATATATGTCTTTCTTTCTGGAGCTAGTCTAAATATATTTGAAAGTATATAGATTTATACAGAATATGTACATTTGCTTTATTCTTTTTGTTTTTGTTTTACAAATGGTAGCATATGATACGTACTTGGCAGGAATAGTTTTTTTATTTTTGTATTTATAGTTTTTATGGCTCCCACAGTTTGTATAATAAAAGCAAAGTTCTTCCTTATTCTATAATTATAGAAGAATTCTCCCGTTTTATTTCTAGTATTTTTAAAATTTTATTTTTCCAGAATTATATTCTTCATCCAGCTATAATCCATGTGAAATTTATTTTGATAAAAGGTAGGATCTTACTTTTTTTCCTTCCATAATGCTACCCAAAACCATGTATTCTCTCTTGCTCATTGTCTCAAAAAATTTTATATGAGAATATATCTTTGGAAAACAAAAATTATAATTTTTCTAATATGACTTTTTAGCATTTCTATAACAAATTATTTACATCTGAAAGAGATCAAAGTTCATTTTCCTCATCTCATGACTTTAGAAAAAGTTTGGGCAGTTAATGGAACATTTAGAGAGAGGTCAAAAGTAGCAATGAAAATGACTCAAAGCTTGAAAACTAAAATTTACGAGGAGAGAGGTATAAAAGGATTTCTTTTAAAGAAGAATTGGAAAAGCTAAGGAATAACTAGACTTAGAAGTTGTAAATTGATAATTTATAATTTTACTTGTTTATGGGATACAAAGTAATTTTAGATTTATGGAGGTAATGTGTAATTAGTATATCCATCACCTCAAATACTTATTTTTTGTTGTTAGAATATTGAAATCCATGAAAATTAACTATACTCACCATCCTGTGCAATAGAACCAAAAAATAAAACCCTAACTCCTCTTGTGTAGTTTTTGTACCTTTTGGCCATCATCCTATTCCTCCTACCCTCCAGCTTCTTGTAACTACTGTGTTACACTCTGGTTCTATGAGTTTAATTGATGCAGTTTCCACATGTGGGTGAGAACATGCAGTATTTGTCTTCCAGTGCCTGGCTTATTTCACCAGTGTAATTTCTTCAGTTCCATCTACGGTCATAGGTGACAGAATTTTCATCTTTTTAGAAGCTCCATACTATGTATCTGAAAGTACTTCAAAAATTGATGAAAGATGGAATTTTAAAAGTTTATTTGGTGTGAAAGTTTCTGAAATTCATATATTGTTTTTTGAAGATTCTTCATGTGCATGGATTTCAAAAAGGTTTTGCACCAAAAAATTACCCTTTAATTTCATTTTCCACCAACTTTCTGAAGTATCCCTATGTATAGCACGTTTTCTTTTTTTTTTTTTTTTTTTTTTTTTTTTTTTTTTTTGACAGGCAGAGTGGATAGTGAGAGAGAGAGACAGAGAGAAAGGTCTTCCTTTTGCCGTTGGTTCACCCTCCAATGGCCACCACGGCTGGCGCGCTGCGGCCAGCGCACCGCGCTGATCCGAAAGCAGGAGCCAGGTGCTTCTGGTCTCCCATGGGATGCAGGGCCCAAGGACTTGGGCCATCCTCCACTGCCTTCCCAGGCCACAGCAGAGAGCTGGCCTGGAAGAGGGGCAACCGGGAAAGAATCCAGCACCCCGACCGGGACTAGAACCCGGTGTGCCGGCGCCGCTAGGTGGAGGATTAGCCTATTGAGCCGCGGCGCCGGCCTCTTTTTTTTTTTTTTTTTTTTAAGATTCATTTATTTACTTGAAAGTCAGATTTACACAGAGAGAAAAGCAGAGGCAGAGAGAGAGAGAAGTATTCCATCTGTTGGTTCACTCCCCAGTTGGCTGCAACTGCCATAGCTGTGCTGATCTGAAGCTAGGAGCCAGGAGCTTCTTCTGGGTCTCCCATGTAGGTGCAGGGGTCCAAGTTTTTGGGCCATCTTCTACTGCTTTCCCAGGCCTTAGCAGAGAGCTAGATCGGAAGTGGAGCAGCTGGTACTCAAACCAGCTCCCATACGTGATGCTGGCACCGCAGGCGGTGGCTTTATCCGCTACCCCACAGCGCCAACCCCAGCACATTTTATCTATTCATCTTTGGTGGGCTCTTAGGTGGATTCTATAACTTGGCTGTTTTAAATGTGCTGCAAGGAACATAGAAAAATATAGGCATCTCTTCAGCAAACTGATGTCAAATACTTAGGGTAAATAATCAGAAGTGAGACTAATGGATCATAGGATAATTCTATCTTTAGTTTTTTGAGGAATTCTCTAGACAGTTTTCATACTGACTGTACTTACTTACATTACCACCAGTAGTGTACAAGAGTTCCCTTTTCTGTACATCCTTACTGACAATTATTATCTTTTGTCCTTTGGGGTATGAGATGGTATTTTCTTGAAATTTGAAACTGCATTCCCTAATGATTAATGATATTGAGCATCTTTTCTTAGGTCTGTTGGCCATTTGTATGTCTTCTTTCAAGAAATGTCTATTCAGGTTACTTGCCCATTTTAATTCTTTTAAAGATTTATTTATTTGAAAGGCACAATGTCAGAGAGAGGGAGAGACAGAGAATTTCCATCTGCAGATTAATCTACCAAGCAGGGCTGAGCTGGGCCAAAGTTGAGAGCCAGAACTTATTCCTAATGTACCACATGGGTGGTAGGGGCCCAAGTACTTGGTCCATTTTCTCGTGCCTTACCAGGCACATGGAGGAAGCTGGACTGGAAGCAGAATACCCATGACTCAGTCCACTCTGATATGGAATGCTGGGGTCGAAAGTGGCAGTGGAATCTGCTGCACCACACCACCAGCCCCAAGCATTTTTATGTAGGTTAGTAATTACCCATGTGACATATATGTGCTAATTGAATGCTTGTTCTTGCTAAAACAAGCTTACTTCTCTTCCAATGAAAAAATTTTAAAGACTTTCCAATGATCTTTAAATATTTTGGATTGTTCACCCCAATTTTTTAAAGTTGAGTTTGCATATGTAATATACATATATATTTATGTATAACAATATATTCATTATAAAATATTTTTGAAAGATAGGATAAGGATGAAATAAATTGTTTAAATGTCTTCAAGCTAGCTTATGTTTACATAATAACTACTTAGTACATTAAGATCCCACATAAACTTAGTTCAGTTAGTAACAAGTTTGTCAATCTATATTTCAAATTGTTTTAGTAATTTTTTTTCACAGATCTGATTAGGAAATTTAGAATCATTGCATGTACCGTACAATATTCTAAGTTCTTTTCATGTATTTAACAGCAACCATACAAGATAGACGTTATTGTTACATTGAAGAAATTGAGCCACAGGAGCATTAAGCTAATAATCATGTAGCTTCCGTATGATAGTATTTGGATTAGTCTGTTAGACTTTCACTATCCAGTATAATAGCTTCTAGTCACATGTGGCTACTTAAGTTACATTTTAAAAATAAAAAACTTAGCTCTTTGGTTGCATTTAGCCGTATTTCAGGTGTTCAGTAGTGCCTAGGGGTTACCACACTGGACAGCATTTCCATCATCACCATAAATTCTATTGACGGTGGGATGCAGACAGCTGGTCGTGTTTTGATCTTTTAATGTGGCTTTGCAAGAGCTCATGCCATGAGAAGAACATTAGTTCAGCTCTTTTTCAATTGTTTGCTTATGCTTGCATGATTGGTATTACCTTCAATCCTGTGTTTCTTTGTAGGAATCCCTGACAGTTGTCTACTTTGTGGTGTTTAGTTAAACCCAGGTAATAAAACCTATAATACATTTAATTGGAGACATGTAGACTGCAAAATACACAAGTGGATGGGGGCAACACTGTTACCAACCCCTTCATGCTGACACAGGATTCAAGGGAGAATGTCAGCCTCAACTTAGATAAATTAATATATGCAAAGATTCTAGAATAGTCTCCCCATAACTTTTGCATGCTTGGAGTATGCAAGTTCCCTACTTTGGAAATCCTTGTCCTAGATCTTTGACTTTGCTTTCTTGGCCTGTTTATTTTCCTCTTTTCCAATGCCTTACTACTTTATATCATTCTTCTGTCTTCATCTTTGCAAAAGAATGAGCAAACTTGAGGATAAGAAGCCAGCAGGACTGTTGCTCAGCAGGGGAACTGAAGTCTTAAAGGGACACAGATGTCCCTTGGGTGAGATCCAGGGCCAGAAGGAGACAATAAGCAAAAGGATGAAAATAAGAGTTCTTCAAAATTGCTTGCTTTGGTTTTCTTAAGAAAAATGTCCTGGTTGCTAGAAGTTTTTTTTTTTTTTTTTCTTTTTTCAGAGTAAAGGTTTATTGTTGGATGGGAGGGAAGCCCAGTGGGCAGGGGGGAGAGGTCAAGAGAGTAAGAATAAGAGGGGTTGGTCTAAGAGAGGGGCAGAGATGGAGAGAGCATGTGTGCTGGAAGCAGGTCCTGTTAAACCTTTGCCGTGGGCAGGGAAGTAGGAACAATGAATCCCATTAGGGTGGGGGTGGAGCTGACACCTGTGGTTGGGCCATCTGGTCACCTGGCTTCCAGCAATGGCAGTGGGGCCAGAGTGTAAATGGTGTTCAGGACATAGATCATGCCACAGATAAGATGGCACCATTTTATTAACATTCCCCCTTTTGTATTTTATAAAGCAAGCATTGTATGGCATTACATCAGCCCCAAAAGTCCAGAAGGGGTGGAGGGACAATGATCTGTCTTTAGAGTACTTCCTGCTGACATGGGGCAACAAGTTACTCTCCACTGTCATGGGGCCATGTCTCAAGCTGCAATCTCCTGGGTGGGGAACTGAGTATATCCATGTAGCAGCATTTGGTTGACTGCCTGGTTGGTGTAGGCTTTGGTTCATTCCATTATCACCTGTAAATACTTAATCAGACAAGGTAGTATAAAGGCCAGGGTGAGAATAGCAGCCAATGGTCCTAGGAGTGGCATTAAGCAAGTAATGAGAGGATTTTATAGAGGAGGGAAAATGGGGTCTCTGGACCCTTGTGAAGACTGCTAGATTGGATATAGCCTGATTGGTTAACATAATAACAGCGCTGTTAACATCAGTCTGTTCTGTAGTACCAGACCTGTCAGTGAGGTGATATGGCTTTGGAAACCTCAGATGGCATCAGCTGAGGTCTTGATGCTAAAAGTTCCTATTCATGGTTTTTGCAAGCATATATTCTTATAGTGCCACATTTTCTGTTTGGTTTACTAATTTATTAGGATTATTTTCATCTGTGCATTGATAAAAATTATGCCTTTTTGTATGTGATGGGGCCTGATATTTCTTTCTTTTTTCCAGGTGTATGAGACAACAAAATGGAGGTAAGTATAATTTCATTTGCAAATATTTCCAAACAGCCTTTCATTTTAAAGTAAAAGTTGGCAAGAAGCTGGTAAACATTCCCTCTACATCTATGTCATACTTTCCAGTGACAGAATTGTTGGGCATTTTGGTTTTTTTGTATAGGACTGTCCCATACTGTATTGGACATTTTACATCTCTGGTTGCTGCCCACTGAATTCCAGTAACGTGCCCAGTCATCAGCATAATCATAAAATCCTGTAGCCCACTAGTGCTGGGTACTCTAAGGAACAGCCTATGAGAAGAGCATTAGTTTAGCTCTTTTTCACTTACTTGGTTATGCCTGTGTGATTGCTATTGGTTTTCAATATTCCAGAGAGTGAGGGTGAGAGAGAAGTCTTCCATCCACTGGTTCACCCCCCAAGTGGCCGCAATGGACAGAGCTGGGCTGATCTGAAGCCAAGAGCTTTTTCTGGCTCTCCCACTTGGGCGCAGGGGCCCAAGCACTTGGGCCATCTTCTACTGCTTTCCCAGGCCATAGCAGAGAGCTGACTCGGAAGTGGAGCAGCCAGGACTCAGACCAATGTCCATATGAGATGCTGGTGCCACAGGCGGAGGCTTTACCCACTACGCCACAGCACCGGCCCCAATGAGATTAAATTTTATCATCCAGTATTTATTAAGTACACTGTATGTACTAAGTACTGAGATAAAATCATGAACAAAGTAGACAGAGTTTTTGTCTACGAGGACTTGAAGTTGCACAGCTGAGTAAGTGGAAAGGTCAGAATTTTAACCTAGATCTGGCACTCGGGAATGGCACTTCCAGCTAAATTATCTTCTTGAAAAATCTTAGCAAGCTAAATTGATCATGATTGATGAACTCTGAATACCTTTAGAAGGTGTCTCCCACTGTGCAGTGACTTCCTCAGGGTTGCTGGAATCCATGTGCAGCCCCACTCTAAAGCAGTGCAGTGCACAAACGTGCGTGACCAGAAAGCAGCAGGAGCTCAATCTCAGCTGGGACTCTTGCCCTTTCTCAGAGTCCTGCCTCGTCTGGTGACTCCCATCAAAGACCTGCTCTGCCGTGGGTTTTTCCAGGTTCCAAACACCAAACCATGGGTTCTTCCTCATTTACCTCCCTCCCTCCCTCCCCCTTTGTTTTCCTTTTCCCTCCCTCCTTCCTTTTCTCCTTCCCTTAGTGCACACAATATCTCTGAATGCCTACTATTGTTCTGTGTCCTAGGACTATAATAAAATGGTTAGTAAGTTCCTGTCCTCAAGGATCACACCACCCAGAATTCATTCTTCTTCATTGTACAAGGGACTTTGAAAAAATAAATGGAAAATGTAATTAACATCAGGAAAATGTTCTGCGAACATTTTGAAGGCCCCTTGTATGGGCTCACCATAGTTCTGAGGTATTACTGTGTTTGACATTTACTGCTGGAATATTTGGAACATTGGTTAAATGTACACTGATGTGTGTTCACTTAAGTGACATTTTTATCTAGACTGGTACAGTAATTACAAGTTTGCATGCCCCTGTATAGATTGTGCAACTTTTGTACAAAGATGAGTGGCATAAAATTTCATTTTCTTACAAGCATGGAAAAATAGCCTCTACCGGACTTTTTTCCCCCAAAATATTTGGGAGAGCTGGTTGCCTATAGCAGATCTTCTGTATACATATCTGTTAGGTATTGTAAATACAGTAGAGAATGAAGAAAGGACCCAGCAAATTAGATGAGCCCAAAAGGTTAACAAGTTTTGTTATTTGTCAAGATAAACTTTTATCTCAAAACATGTTACATGGGTGTGACAGTCTTTCTCATTTGATTGTGAGTCACTGAGCACAGGGGTCATGTTGTTGTCCTGTTTGTGATACTTGTTCTCCCTTAGACATCTGTGCCACTACGAGACACTTTTTGTGCTTAATGGGGACTCTGTTTTTATTGAATTGAAGATGAAGGAGGAAGGTGATTTTATCAGACAGAGTAAATAATATTTTAGAGAGATTATGGGTTTGGAAAGCAGGGAACATGCTGTGTCTGTCCTGACTTTGTGAGTACCTAGTGTTTTGACCTGAATAAATCACCTAACCTCACTGGGGCCAGTTTCCTTGAAAAATGAAAACCTTATTGCAGGGTTTCTTGCCAGCTGCCAAACACCTTTGATTATTCTGTTACCACTATGTTGTAAGTACATAGAGAATGTTTCATGTTGTATAGGAGAATCTAGGTTATACAAATTTTCATTTTAGTTTTTAAACATATGCAGCCTTGATTTTATCTGAATTTTCTAAAAAGACAGATTTCAGCCTCGGACCCTCTGTGTATACTCTGAGCGTGTGTATAAGGTACTGTGTAGTTAGACATTGTGTGAGCGTGAGCGTTTTTACTTGACTGTGAACTATTTTTTTTTTGTTACCTCTTTGGACAGATCTATTTTTCCCTTCAAGACCAGTTCACAGTGATGCTCATCAGCTGTTATGATTTGCTTTTAGAACTTTTACAGACTCCTCAGTCATCAAAGCTCACACCAAGCCAGTAGATGCCTGCTGAGAGGGAGGGAGATCTGTGGAGAATGTAAGGCCCTTGTCTACAAAGAGGATATGTTCTAGCACTAGAGATACGATGTCTATATGAATAGCGTCAATAGGAACTTGAACACTTAGTTTAAAATCAATATGAAACTAACGAGATAGCTTAAGGCAGACCATGCTGGAAGCAGGGGAAGCCTACTCAAGTTCTCTGCTCCAATTACAAATGCACTCTAAAAGTTTCTATTAAAGATTGTTTAATTGCATGGATCTTGAAAATTCTAGGTCCTACCTATAGTCCTCTTGTCCTTGAAATCCAGTGCCTGGAATGTTTATCGAGGACTGAGAGAAAATGTTAAGACTGACTGTGATTCCCAAATACTAATCTATCCATCTCAAATGAGAAAAGTGAGGGACTGGAATTCTGATAAAAATTCATCTCATGTAAATACTTCCTTTAATCTCAAGGATAATTATATCTGTCCTACTTGTTTGATGTTAAAAACTTTTTATGAAATGATGATAGTGGTAGGTGGTTGGTTGTTGTGATTGTTATGTTAATGTTCTTACTTGGCAAAGTAACATTTGATAATCCTTAAATTCCCCAAGTTTTGCAACCACTGCTATCAGGCTTTGTAAGACATGGTGTGTGTCTTCATGGAGCTTATCTTCTGCTCTTTCACCCTCTGGGAGGAAGTCAAGTTGGTAATACTCTTCTGAATTTATGATTGAGCAAGCAGACTTGGAACCATGTGTTCTGCATTTTCTATTAATGTAGTACAGGCTTGTCTTGGCATTGATGAAAAATCTGCTGTCCAGACACCTCTGTACACAGTAATTATATGCATGGAGCTGTTCTGTATGAAGTCATCAGATCTCATGTGTTCCTTACACCTTGCAAATATGGAGCTAAATCTTTTCATGCAGTGGTGGGGAGGCATTATTCTTTAAGTGTTGTGGTATTAATTAGTAATGGTAGGCTTCTAAAGCAAAAAATAGAGACATCTATTTTCCTGGCGAAAGCTTCTAACGTCTTGAGTATCTTGCTTTGAGGGGATAGTTCACACATCAGGTTTTGATTCTTAGGCAGTTATTTTCCATTCTGAGAGAGCCAACTATTACCCTAAAAGGTCAGTATTTGGTTTCCATGATTAATCAGACACTTGAGCTTCATGGCTATGTGCTGTTCCATGCAGTTTTCTGTGTAATACAGGTATCTTTTTGCTGCATCCTAGGTGGCTGTCTGGTGATCCAGAAGACTCAGCAGTAGAGTTGATTATTTCTTCACTTCTTAGTCCACTGACTCCCACAGGGACTCCAACTAAGGCATACCTTAGCATTTCTCTGAAGGAAAAAAAAAATGTGTAAGTCTTAAATAGACTATGAAAAACAATTCATAAGCAATGGTATCTTTGAAAAGCTTCTACCCAGATGTCCTAATGACTCTATGAGTTTTTAGTTCTTGGGCTTTGAAGTGCCTTTGAATCTTATCTCTTTTGTGTGGAACAGTGTGATTTGGAGTAAGTTGCTTAACTTCTTTATTTGCAAAAGGGAACAGTTCACATTTGATGGCACTGGATGAGAACCCGGACCTTATTGAGAACTTAGCCAGAATTCTCTCCATTCTCCTAATTTGATGATGTTGTATGGCAAACACTGTTTAGATGTTTACCCAACAATCTCATTCTTCCTTCCCTTGCTAATAGAATCCTAATTAGTGTGAGAGATAATGTTTCTCCTACATACACTTTGAGTGGCTGTATTTAACGTAGCTCCGATTGTGGAGACAAAAGAGGAAATCTGCTGAGGTCCTGTCTTTGCTTTACTGACCAAAAGAGGACTCCATGGCTGGCACCCAATTCTCTCTTGCTGCCCTGCACACTGATATGATATCCAGATATCCAGACTGCAGCAGCCACGCTGTGCTCCTGAAGAAAAGGCTGAAAAGATCAGATGCCATCTCTGACCTTGTGAAAATGCCAACCCAGCGTCTACATTCACTATTTTTCAGGCTTTCAATTGTGGACAAATAAACCCTTACTTATGCCTTTCTATTCCCTTACTTGGCAATTGAACACATTCTTACCTGCTATATTAAGTATTGTTATTATCCTTAATCTCCAGATGAAGAAATTTTGGCCCAATGATGCTAAATAATTTGTCTGTTTTATAAAGTTGGTCAGCAATGGGATTGGGTTTCAGATCCCACAAGCCTGAATTTAGAACTTGAGCTCTTAGCCAGTTACCTTATGATGTTTAGGGTATGAAATGAAATTACTTATAAAAAGCACTTTAGCATTAACATGGTACCTGGCATGTAGGTAATATATATCAAAATATTAAGAGCTTTGTCATAATCTCAGCTGCAGGTTAGTGCTTACCAATGGCCTCAGGTTTTGATTTTCATTCAGTTATTTTCCATTCTGAGGAGAGCCAATTTTTATTATAAAAGGTTGTCATTTGGTTTCCATGCTCAATTAAATAATTGTACTTAATGGTTATGGAAGGTACTCAGCAAATTTTTTGACTGAGTGATTGAATAATTCTGTTAAAATTTCCCAGCTATCACTTTTAGAAGGTCACTGTATGCATTTTGGATAGGGAGCTAAAATTTTATAAAATAAATAACATAGTACAGGGTTCAGTAGAAACTTGGCTGCCTCTTCAAATCCAGCCTCCATTCCTGACTGATGGGCAATATGATGTTGCACAAATGACTTACTCTCTCAGTACCTAGTTTCTTTATCTGTAAAGTGGAAATAATAATAATCTGAATTAGCCAAGAGTAGTATTGTTACAATTAATTAAAATTATATGCTTAAAGGTTTTAAAAGGCACTGCTGGAGCCCTAAATAAATGTTAACTTTTATAGCAATAACTATTACAAGTCTTTACTTATTTATTTGTACTCTACCAAAATGATTCCAGTGAATGATGCCAAGTCAAAAAACAAGATTCAGGTAGATGCGGTAAGTGAAATGTGAATCCATGGTGACTTAGCTCTGTTCAAATATAGAAAGATAAAAAAAAAAAAAAAAAAAAACACACACACACACACACACACAAAAACTTAGGTGTACTAGCTTAGTAGAGAGTGCCCTTGTGCAAATGGTTTTCCATTTCAAACTGTCACTCTGAGTCTCAGCAGTTAATTTTCAAAACTAAAAATAAAAAAAAAAGTGTCCTCTTACTTTGAAAATTATAAAATTTCTCTCCTACCTAATCCCCTCTCTTAGTTTCTCTTTTCACATTTGCACATAAACTTGTTTATTTGAGAGGAATCAAGCCAACTTGATCAGGAATGGATAATGTCAGCTCTACCTTACTGGCAGCTAAAAAATGAAGCAGCTATTAATGACAAGGAAAACTAGCAATTATGTTAACTTATGGAATTCAACTTTTAAGACAGGATTATAATTTATGGAAAGGTGTGAAGAGATCTGTAGATTCATTCCCCAGAGAAACAACTGTGATTGGTGAGAACTATAAAAACAGAACTGTTTAAAATCTTTGGAAATTGTCCTAAGAACATACTGCAAATATTTACTTTAAAAAATCTACTAAATATAGAAGAACTATAATGGCAGTTAGTAGCACTTGAACCATGACTTCCTCCTCCCTCCATCTACCCCCCCACACACCCCTGCCAAATTTAGTGGAAGCTCCACTCCAGGCATATGTGGCCAAAAAGATCTTCCATTCATCTCAGCTCTTAAGGAATACAGTATCTCACCAGCAGGGACAAGTAAACAACATTTACACTTCTCTCCAACTTTAATTTTTAGAAATCATCATTTTCTGGTGAATATAGCAAAATATTAGGGGCCCAACCCCAATTCACTGAGAGGATATTGCCTTAACCTAGGGTCAGGAAGAGTTGTCACTCTAAGAGATGCAGGCCACTGTCTCTGTCAAGACCAGAAAGGCTCAGAGATTTTGCCCAAGGGAGAAGATACAGCTGATAAGACCAGAGGATTCCATATTCTTTCCCAAAGGAACTGTGGCGTGAGGGGAAGTTCAGCCCTAAGCCCGCTCTCTAAAACACTGGAGATTTGATGGTAATAAAAGAGGTTGGTAGTTCTATGAGAACAAGATGCTAAACTATAGGCCAGATAATTTACTGGAGAGAAACAGGAAAATGCCTACTGAGAATCTTCCTAAAGAACAAGAAAAAGAAACCCTTGGTGACTGACCTCAAAACAAACAAACAAAAACAAAGCAAATCACATACACAAAAAAACTTGCCTGAATTTGTTAGATGAAACTGTGGACCAGTTCTCATCCCAGGGCATTGTTGAAAAGAGTGGACCAATCAGCAGGCAGTTAGTAGAACCTATTAGCTGGGTGGGATATAATAAACAGAGATGATTAAACAGATCAAGGAGAGACTGCTAAAGCCACTGTCATGCTAGGGTGACTGCAGAGGCCAGACACTTCACACTGTGTCTTGTGGGGGGGGGGGGTGACAGGAGGAATTGGATTTTATTAAAATAGTGTAGCTGAGTTACTAAATCAATAAACAAGAAAAATTATGTCAGAGTGGAGAGAAATCTGTATCCAGACTTGCTATTTCATATTACTTAAAATGTCCTTAGAGCGACAGAAAAGACTTGCAAGAAACAGAAGGTGTGACACTAGGAAAAAGAGGCTCATTAATGCTTGGAGGGGTCTAGATGTCAAATTTAACAGGCAGAGACTTCAAAGCAGTCATTGTGAATATGTTCAAAAAACTAAAAAAACAATGCTAAGTAAGTAAAGCAAACTAGGATGAAAATGTCTCATCAAACACAGACCATCAATAAAAAGAGAACAATTACAAAAAAAAATAACCATATGGAAACTGGAGTTTAAAAGTATAACTGAAATGAAAAATTCACTAGATGGAACCCCTAAAGGATTGGAAAGAATCAATGCATTGGAAGTTAGATTAATGGAGACTTTGCAACCCAAGGAACAACAAAAAAAAAAAAAAAAATAAGAAAAAATAAACAGACCTGTAGATAAATGTAGACACCATTTTATACACACACACACACATGCACACACACATAGTGGGATTTTCAGAAGAGAAAAGAAAGCAAAAGGAGCAGAAAAAAATAATGGTTAGAAACATCCCAAATTTGATGAAAATCAATCTATACACTCCAGAAGCTCAAAGAATTGTAAGCAGGATAATCATGCAAAGAGATCCACAAAACGACACATCACAGTATAAATGTTAAAATACAAAGAAAAAAAAAAGCAACAGGCAAAAAAAGGACTCATCACATATAAAGGAACCCTAGAAAACTAATATCTCAGTTCTTTTAGAAACATTAGAGTCAAGAAGCCTTGTTGCCATAGAATAACATATTCAAATTACTGTAAGAAAAAAATCTGTCACCTAAAAATTCTCTGCCTAGCAAAGCTGCCTTTCACAAATGAAAGACAAGTAAGGAGATATTTCCGGTCAAATGAAAACTGAGAGAAATTGTTCTCTCAGACCTCCCAGCCCCCTACTAGTAGTAAGAAAGATAGTTATTCAGGCTGAAGGCAAGTGAATGCATATGGTAATATGCATTGAACCAGATTTGGCTCCCCAAACTCATGCAGATGCTTGAACACCAAAGTCTTAGGTTAGCAATTAATGGATTAATGCTATTGATTGATGGATTCAGATGAAAGCTTGATCCAATTATGGCATCTGAACGGAGGGTGTTTAGAAAGTGATTGCATTGGATTACATTCCTAGGGTGGTGCCCAGTGACCAAATCATGATGGCATTATAAGGAGAAACTACAGAGTTGGGAGAAGAGTGAGCTTCCTGTGTCTGTCTGCTTCCTGGCTCACCATGTGATGGTTCCTTTGCACCAGCTTCACCATTACCAGGTTCTACCAGATGCCACACTTATGGGGCCACCCGATCTTGGACTGCAAAACTCCAACAGTAAGCTGAAATAAACCTTCTTCCCTCCTAAGTTACTCCTCTTAGCTATTTTAGTTAAAGTAACAAAAGCTAATACAAATGTGAAGCCTCACAAAAAAAGAGAGAAAACTGGCAAAGATAATTATGTGATTGTTAAAGACAATATAAAGGTACATGTCTCCTCTTGTCAATTTAAAATAACTGTGTAAAATAATATGTATATTGTTGTACTGTCAGGCCTAAAACATGGAAACATAATGTATCTAACATAATGGCACAATGTAAGTGAATTGGAATAAAGCTATATTGAGTGAATTAAGGAAATGTATCAAATGGTAGCTTGAATCAACAGGAACAAGTGAAGAGAACCAGAAATGGTAAATAAGAATGTTAAAAATAACAAACTCTGGGGTTGGCACTATGGCATAGCAGGTAAAGCCGCCACCTGCAGTGCCAGCATCCCATAGGGGTGCAAGTTCAAGTCCCAGCTGCTCCACTTCTTATCCAGCTCTCTGCTATGGCCTGGAAAAGCAATAGAAGATAGCCCAAGTCCTTGTGTTCCTGCACCCGCATGGGAGACCCAGAAGAATCTCCTGGCTCCTGGCTTCAGATTGGCTCAACTCCGACTTGCTACCATTTGGGGGATGAACAGCAGATGGAAGGCCTTTCTCTCTGTGCCTTTCCCCCTCTCTGTCTGTAACTCTACCTCTCAAATAAATAAACCGTAAAAAAAAAAAAAAAAGTAAGTGAGTTCTTGCCACCCACATGGGAGACTTAGATTGAATTCCTAGCTCCTGCTTTTGGCCCTGGCTCTGGCCCAGCCCCAGCTGTTGCAGGCATTTGGGGCATGAGCAAGTGGAAGGGAAAGCTAGCTCTCCCCACTCCTCACCCCCAAAAATAAAATACTTAAAGGTAAAAAAAGAAAAAAATGTAAGTGAAATAAATGTGTCAAAATTGTGCCAGTTTAAAAAAAAATGACATGAAACAAATAGAAAGCACAAAGTGAAGTGGCAGGTAAAAATTCAACTATAGCAGTTACAAATTTAAGTAGATGAAACAATCCTGTCAAAAGGTACAGATACAAGATTGTATACAGAAAATAATACCCAGCTATATGCTGTATACAAAAGACACAATTTAGATTTAATAATACAAATAGATTCAAGGTAAATGGTAGAAAAAGATACATAGTGTAATAGCAATGATTAAAAAAAAAAACGAGTAAAAGAGGTTTTTTTTTTTTATCTTTTATTTAATGAATATAAATTTCCAAAGTACGACTCATGGGTTACAATGGCTTCCCCCCCCCATACCGTCCCTCCCACCCACAACCCTCCCCTTTCCCACTCCCTCTCCCCTTCTATTCACATCAAGATTCATTTTCGATTATCTTAATATACAGAAGATCAGCTTAGTATACCTTAAGTAAGGATTTCAACAGTTTGCTCCCACACAGAAACATAAAGTGAAAAATAATAGATGATTTTTTTAAATGATGATGAAATCAGATCAGACCTATTGTCATGTTTAATCCCAGTGAGAGTCAAGTTGGGAATTGATAATTTCTTTTTTTTTTTTTTTTTTTACAGAAGATCAGTTTAGTATGCATTAAGTAAAGATTCA